CGCCGGTTGGGGTTGTGGGATTGGGGTTTTTGTCTTGGGGGTTGTGGCCCACAGGGCTGTGTTTGACCTTTGACCTTGTACCCAGCGTTTTTGCATGCCTACTCTTTCAGAATCGCTCCGGTTTCCCAGCATGCCCGCGCAAGTCACCGAGCCTTTCCTGTCCCCTCCAGAGCGCGACAAGGAGAACCGGCACCGGCGCCGCAGTCCGACTCGGAGCCGCAGTCGCGAGAGGAAAAGGAGGAGCAGAGAGAGGAGGAGCCGGGACAGGCGGAGCGATTCGAAGGACCGCCGACAGAGGCGGAGGTAACTGCACCGACACCCGCTGGTCCACACTGATACTGGGATAGTCCTGGACTAGAGATTCACTGGGATTATAATCAGACTCCACTGACACTGACAGAGCAGTCTGAGACTCTCCAGGCTGGACTGGACTGACTGGACTGGGAGCTGGACTAGTTCTTCACTGGGATTATAATCAGACTCCACTGACACTGCCAGAGCAGTCTGAGACTCTCCAGGCTGGACTGGACTGACTGGACTGGGAGCTGGACTGGTTCTTCACTGGGATTATAATCAGACTCCACTGACACTGCCAGAGCAGTCTGAGACTCTCCAGGCTGGACTGGACTGACTGGACTGGGAGCTGGACTAGTTCTTCACTGGGATTATAATCAGACTCCACTGACACTGCCAGAGCAGTCTGAGACTCTCCAGTCTGGACTGGGCTGACTGGACTGGGAGCTGGACTAGTTCTTCACTGGGATTATTATCAGACTCCACTGACAGAGCAGTCTGAGACTCTCCAGGCTGGACTGACTGGACTGGGAGCTGGACTGGTTCTTCACTGGGATTATAATCAGACTCCACTGACACTGCCAGAGCAGTCTGAGACTCTCCAGGCTGGACTGGACTGACTGGACTGGGAGCTGGACTAGTTCTTCACTGGGATTATAATCAGACTCCACTGACACTGCCAGAGCAGTCTGAGACTCTCCAGGCTGGACTGGACTGACTGGACTGGGAGCTGGGTTAGTGATTCTCCGGGCTTGAGAACTGAGTAGTGGTGGTTGTGTCTCTCAGCAGTCGCTCCCCGCACCGGGAGAAGAAGAAGAAAGTGAGGAAGTACTGGGATGTGCCGCCGCCCGGGTTCGAGCACATCACCCCCATGCAGTACAAGGCCATGCAAGGTGAGAGTGCGCCCCCCGGTGTGTCCTGCGTGTGGCGCCCGCGGCCGGCGGCCTGCGACCTGCCCGTCTCACACGCCCCCCCCTCTCTCTCCCCCCTGCAGCGGCGGGCCAGATCCCCGCCACCGCCCTGCTGCCCACCATGACCCCCGACGGGCTGGCCGTGACCCCCACCCCCGTGCCCGTGGTGGGCAGCCAGATGACCCGGCAGGCCAGGAGGCTCTACGTCGGCAACATCCCCTTTGGCATCACTGAGGTGAGGGGGCCTAGGCTGGAGGTAACGACCCCGCGACTGGGGGGGCTGGGCTAGAGGTCACGACCCCGAGACTGGGCCGGACTGGGGTAGAGGTCACGACCCCGAGACTGGGCCGGACTGGGCTAGAGGTCACGACCCCGAGACTGGGCTGGAGATCACGACCCCGAGACTGGGGCGGACTGGGCTGGAGATCACGACCCCGAGACTGGGGCGGACTGGGCTGGAGATCACGACCCCGAGAGTGGGGCGGACTGGGCTGGAGATCAAGACCCCGAGACTGGGCAGGACTGGGCTAGAGGTCGCGACCCCGAGACTGGGCCGGACTGGGCTAGAGGTCGCGACCCCGAGACTGGGGGGCTGGTCAGGGTGGGCAGACTGGGGCTACAGGGTTACTGGACTGGTGGGACTGGGCCCGCGGCCGTGCTCGGTGAGGTGTGACGAGCTGCCTGTGTCTCTGTCCGCAGGAGGCCATGATGGATTTCTTCAACGCCCAGATGCGCCTGGGGGGCCTGACCCAGGCTCCGGGGAACCCCGTGCTCGCCGTGCAGATCAACCAGGACAAGAACTTCGCCTTCCTGGAGGTGAGGGCCCCGCCCGTCCGTCCACCTGCCTCGTGGGGGCGCTCTGCCAGCGGTCGGCATGTGACCCCCCCTCTCCCTCCCCCCCTGGCAGTTCCGCTCCGTGGACGAGACGACGCAGGCCATGGCGTTCGACGGCATCATCTTCCAGGGCCAGAGCCTGAAGATCCGGCGGCCCCATGACTACCAGCCGCTGCCTGGTATGAGCGAGAACCCCAGCGTCTACGTGCCAGGTCGGTCCGCGCCCCCCTGCGCCTGCCCCCCGGGGCCCGAGTCTGCCCCGCTGACCGCCCGCTCTCCCCCTCTGTCCCCCAGGCGTGGTGTCCACGGTGGTGCCGGACTCCGCCCACAAGCTCTTCATCGGGGGACTGCCCAATTACCTCAACGACGACCAGGTCAGTGTCCGCCGGCCGGGTCGGCGGGGGTGCCCGGCGGGGTCCGTCAGCTGGCGTTGACCCTCCCTCTCCCCCCCCGCAGGTGAAGGAGCTGCTGACATCCTTCGGCCCCCTCAAGGCCTTCAACCTGGTGAAGGACAGCGCCACCGGGCTCTCCAAGGGGTACGCCTTCTGCGAGTACGTGGACGTCAACGTCAGTGACCAGGTAACTGTTAACCGTCGACCCCGAGGGGCGTGGCCGGTGAGGGTCGACCCCCCCCAAGGGGCGTGGCCGGTGTGGGTCGACACCCCCCCGGGGGGGCGTGGCCGGTGTGGGTCGACACCCCCCCGGGGGGGCGTGGCCGGTGTGGGTCGACACCCCCCGGGGGACGTGGCCGGTGTGGGTCGGACCCCCCCGGGGGGGCGTGGCCGGTGTGGGTCGACCCGGGGGGGCGGGGGGTGTAGACCAGAGGCTCCTGGTCCTGGGGGACAGCGGTGTGGCGGGCCCCTTGTCTGAACCCCTGCATTAACCTCACTCCCTGCTCTCTGCTCACTGTTGAAGGCCATTGCGGGTCTGAATGGAATGCAACTGGGCGATAAGAAGCTGCTGGTGCAGCGTGCCAGCGTGGGAGCCAAGAACGCCACTCTGGTGAGCAGCCTGTGTGAGCGCCGCGGTGCCGCGCGGGCTCGCGCCCTCGCCGGTTCCTCCCGCAGCGCCAGGGCGCCGGCCGAGCGAGCTCCAGGACACCGGGGACGGCGATGACGTCACTGGGCTTCGCCTGCGGCCGGACCGCTCTCCTGTTGAGCTGCTGTGGAATTACTCTCTCTCTACAGACCAGTATAAACCAGAGCCTGGTGTCTGTGTGTTGGTAACCCATCTATCTCTCTCTCTCTCTCAACAGACCAGTATAAACCAGAGCCTGGTGTCTGTGTGTTGGTAACAAATCTGTCTCTCTCTGTACAGACCAGTATAAACCAGAGCCGGGTGTCTGTGCGTTAGTAACCCCGTCTCTCTCTCTGTACAGACCAGTATAAACCAGAGCCAGGTGTCTGTGTGTTGGTAACCCATCTGTCTCTGTGTCTGTACAGACCAGTATAAACCAGAGCCTGGTGTCTGTGTGTTGTTAACCCATCTGTCTCTCTCTCTGCACAGACCAGTATAAACCAGAGCCGGGTGTCTGTGTTTCTGCACAGACCAGTATAAACCAGAGCCGGGTGTCTGTGTGTTGGTAACCCATCTGTCTCTCTCTCTGTACAGACCAGTATAAACCAGAGCTGGGTGTCTGTGCGTCAGTAACCCCGTCTCTCTCTCTGTACAGACCAGTATAACCCAGAGCCGGGTGTCTGTGCGTCAGTAACCCCGTCTCTCTCT